CTTGTATGCCCTCACAACAACTGGAGAGAGGGCGGGCCTTGCACCTTACCTGGGCCAAACAGTAGAGCTGGCCAGGCTGATAGGAGTGAGGGGACCCAGATCTGAGGCCAGAGAGCAGAACTGGCCCCGCTCCTTGCTGCAGGCTGTGCTGGGTGAGCTAGCTGAGGCAGGGCTGGAGCGCTCACCCAGGAAATGATGAGGGGAAAGCTAGCATGCTGACTGCCCAGGTCCAGAATCAGGGTTATGAGCTGGGCACCCCAACATCCACTTCACCTCTAACCTGTCAGGGCCTGTGAAGGAGATGACCCTCTGATCCCAAAGAGCAGGATCTCCGTGACACAAGCCCCCGTGAGAGCCCATTACTGTGGTGGTGCAGAAGCCAGAGGCCTCGAGCCAGACCAATGACTGGTTGTAATGAACAGATTAAAGGGTAAACTGTGTGTCTTACGGGCCACACTACAGCTTCCACAGGATTTTAAAAAATTTTTTTTTCTTGGACTGGAGAGATGACTCAGAGGTTAAGAGCATTGGCTGCTCTTCCAGGGGCCCTGAGTTCAATTCCCAGCAACCACATGGTGGCTCAGAGCCATCTGTAATGAGATCTGGTGCCCTCTCTGGCCCACAGGGATACATGCAGATAGAAGACTGCGTACATAATAAATAGATTTAAATAATTTTTTTTTTTGGTTTTTTGAGACAGGGTTTCTCTGTGGCTTTTGGAGCCTGTCCTGGAACTAGCTCTGTAGACCAGGCTGGTCTCGAACTCACAGAGATCCGCCTGCCTCTGCCTCCCGAGTGCTGGGATTAAAGGCATGCGCCACCATCGCCCGGCAATGTTTATTTTTTTTTTTAAATTCTTTCAAATTTGGTTTTATTTTTGGGAGAAGGCTGTAAGGGCAGAGGGTGGATTCAAGGGGACAGGGACATAAGTGGGATCGGATGTATGATGTGAAATCCACAAAGAATCAATAAAATAAAAAATAAATTCAGTGTTCATGGATTGAAAGTCCAGTCCAGTAAAGCCAGTTCGCCTGAACTACCGACTACGGTGATCTCAAGCAACAGCTTCCTACGCTCATCGCCTGCTTTCTCAACAGACCAATTACAGTTTGCATGGAAGCACAGACACCAGAGCAGAGATGATGAATCTGAAAGAAAATAAAGGAGAACTTTTCTATGAAATTGAAACATTTGGTACTTAAATTGCAACCGTAGTGTTCTGTGGTTAGGTATGTGAACTGAGAGTTCCCAGACATGTATGTTGTATATGCTTGATATTTATGGTAAAGAGCAGTTCTCAACAGTGGGGAAGGGAATACTTACAACACTCATTACTTTTCATGGTAAAAAAATATGTAAACCAGTGTACATCTGCAAAAACATGGTCTTTCTTGTTGGTCAGTAGAAAACCTGAAGGCCACACTACTGTCTGTGCTGGAAAGATAAAGGAAAGATAAAGTGCTTAAAAATTTGTATAAGCAATCTAATAAACACCTGTACGTGTGCGTATATGTATTTGCTTCATGAAATACTGCAATGAATATAGGCGGGAGAGCTCCAAACAGAGCCTTCATTACGACCCATCTGTATTAATGCTATGAATTTTTCTGATGCTACTTTATTAGAGATTCTGAAATATAATGCTTTATTATCCTTGAGAAACTCTTTACAGACTTTTTATTGTATATTAGGTTTCAAATTTTCCAGGTAGGAACTCCTTTTGTTTTTCCATTTTTGCTTTGAATTTTACTTGGAATTGGCTTTTTTTTTTTTTGCATTGTTCCTAGAATCATTTTATTTTTTTTACTTTCTTTATACATTCTTTTTTTTAATTGAAAGAAAAGAAAAAAAAAAAAGAAATTCCCACCCCCTCCCAGCCTCCCATTTCCCTCCCCCTTCTCCCACTCTTCTCCTCCTCCCTCCACTCCTCTCCCCCTCCCTCTCCAGTCCGAAGAGCAGTCAGGGTTCCCGGCCCTGTGGAAAGTCCAAAGTCCTTGCCCCTCCATCCAGGTCTAGGAAGGTGAACATCCAAACTGGCTAGACTTCCACAAAGCCAGAACGTGAAGTAGGATCAAAACCCCGTGCCATTGTCTTTGGCTTCTCATGAGCCCTCATTATCTGCCATGTTCAAAGAGTCCGGTTTTATCCCATGTTTTTTCAGTCACAGTCCAGCTGGCCTTGGTGAGCTCCGACTAGATCAGCCCCACTATCTCCGTGGGTGGGTGCACTCCTTGTGTTCCCGATTTCCTTGCTCATGTTCTCCCTCCTTCTGCTCCCCATTGGGACCTTGAGAGCTCAGTCCAGTGCTCCAGTGTGGGTCTCTGTCTCTATCTCCATCCATCTCCAGATGAAGGTTCTATGGTGATATGCAAGATATTCATCAGTATGGCTATAGGATAGGGTCATTTCAGGTTCCCTATCCTCAGCTGCTTAATGCAAGCTGCATGTGAGAGACAAGAATCTATGTAGCCCAGGCTGGCCTTGTGTCCCCCATCCTCTTGCCTTAGACTCAGTAGCACTGGGGTTACAGTGATAGCCCTCCTAGTACACTTAATTTTAAAATCTCCATAGAACCTTGTCATTTTGTCTTTTTTAAAATATTTATTTATTTATTATGTATACAATATTCTGTCTGTGTGTATGTCTACAGGCCAGAAGAGGGCACCAGACCTCATTACAGATGGTTGTGAGCCACCATGTGGTTGCCGGGAATTGAACTCAGGACCTTTGGAAGAGCAGGCAATGCTCTTAACCGCTGAGCCATCTCTCCAGCCCCCCTCATTTTGTCTTCTTAATATCTCAATATTAGTATTTTTGTGTGTGGAGGTCCCATATGTTTTTGAAGGAAAGGTATTTCTCTAATTCAGGATGCTAGTGATGGGTGTGTGCCTATATATTAGTGAAAATGTAGCGCCCATAATTTAAAGTATGCACATAATTGAAAACAAAAAGACTGATTTATATGAATATTACTTAAACATATGCCCATCCTTTCTCTGAGAATGTGTTGGGATCTATCAGTAACCAAACTTACCAAGCCTTCTGGGCTCTCCTAAACTCAGGACACAAGTCACTTGAGTAATGGGAATCATCTCTGGGTGTGGCCAGAATATTATTTTGATTACACTTTGAAAGAACTCCCAAGAGGGAGATAATACCTTGCTAGTTAGCCTTCTGAGACAACACACACCTGTTCATTATAGTTAGAAATATCTGCTGAATGTGTTGTGGAAATAGATGTTTAATTTCCCAGGAAGCATGGCTGCATGATCTTAACATGTGGTGATTCTACAAAGGGTTCCCCATTTGGATGTCCAACAGGGAGCAGAGAGATACTAAGGCTGTGATATGGAAGCTATAGTCAACCCTCTCCATTATCCCCCTCTGTGGTATGGAAGCTATAGTCAACCCTCTCCGTTATCCCCCTCTGTGATATGGAAGCTATAGTCAACCCTCTCCGTTATCCCCCTCTGCGATATGTAAGCTATAGTCAACCCTCTCCATTATCCCCCTCTGTGGTATGTAAGCTATGGTCAACCCTCTCCATTATCCCCCTCTGTGATATGGAAGCTATAGTCAACCCTCTCCATTATCCCCCTCTGTGATATGGAAGCTATAGTCAACCCTCTCCGTTATCCCCCTCTGTGATATGGAAGCTATAGTCAACCCTCTCCGTTATCCCCCTCTGTGATATGGAAGCTATAGTCAACCCTCTCCGTTATCCCTCCTCTGATATGTACTTCTGGGAAACAGGGATCTTGGTATCTGGAAGTAACAACAATAAAGTGTGGGGACAGAGGGCTGAAGTCTAACTGGATTATTTCAGTTACTGTCTAATTCTGGCTTGTATATCTGGAAGGTTAAAGTTATTAGTAATAGTGATCATATATATAAAGTGATAACCGATATGGTAACCCAGCATGGCTCGTAGTCTCAGAGAAAGCACAGGAACGAGAGAGAGCACTGAGCTCCTCACAGCCTGGTCACATGGTCCACACAGTGGACATGGAAGGGTGAAGAGTTCCCTTCAAGGACTCATCACTTAGCAATCGCGGCTGGCAGGGAAGGGGCACCAGGGGCGAATGGACCATTAACCTCTCTGACACACAGTATCTGTGGAGGATGTAGAGGATGGGAAGGATGATGGCAGGATATTTTCTATTTTCCATTGAACTATACAAGTAACTATCTTACAGGCTTAAGACATGAATGGTCACATGTGGGGCTAGTGTGAGCCCAGCACTCAGAGGCTGGAAGTGGAATGACCCAAAATTCAAGTTAATTTGGGATACACCAGGAGATACCATATCAAATAAAACAAAATAAAACCCAAACAGAAAGCAAAAGCCAAACCAAACCAAACCATCATTTTAGGTTTACACATATTTGTAATAAAATTATCTGATGAGTTGATACATAAATGTAACACATACTGACCATTCTCACGCTTGTCCTATGGCCCTACAGCCCCTCCTCTTATTTGTGTGTTTTTACTGAGTTTAACCAGGCCATCACAGTGCCTATGGGGTTAGAGCTTGGAGGTGGAACCTGTGGGCTCAGCAGTGGGTACAAGAGTAGAGAGAATTATTTGTCCTCTGCTGGGAACTATGGTTAGTTCAGCAGGCAAGTTCCCTGGGAGCACTTGTGCCTGACTGACAGCTGGGCCAGGTCGGTATGGGCTCAGTGCAGTGGCCACACCTGTGCATTCATGATTGCAACCGCGGTATCAAATCTACATATGTAAGTCAGGGTCTCGCTACATAGCCCAGGTTGGCTTTGAACTCCGAATTATCCTCCTGCAGCAACTTCTGGCGCATCACCATGCCTGGCTAGCAAAGAATTCCAGAACTTAAAAGGAAGACAAGTTCATATCTAGCCTGGAGTTCAAAGTTAGAGATTAAGAAAGGACCTAGTACATGAGATAAAATGGAAGGCTTTCTTTCAGAAGTTCTCTACACAGTGAGCAATTTTATAGTATAAAATATTTGAATGTACACATATAAGAATTGTGCACGCTTAAGTTTATTTTCATTTGATATAACATGAAGTTAACAGAAATTTTATGGTAACAAAATGTTATCATTAATAAGATTCTGCATTTTAAAGCATATTTTAGTATAGCTGGATATTTAACATTCAAAGTTTACTCATTTTTAAAATGGAAAACACATAATTATAATATCCAGATCTTGTAATTTTAAAGTTTTAACCAAAACACTTGCAAGTAAATTCAAGAAATAGCCTATATTTCAGACCAAAAAAAGTACATTACTAACAAAGTGCCAATGAATCTGACAATATTATTTTCTTCTGGGGAAGAGGGTAAAGTACATGATAATATATAACTGGTCATTTTTAAATCATGGTTTAGAATGAGTAATTTGATGTATACTTCATAGTAACAAAGAGTGCTTGCCTGTATTAGACTAACCATGATAAAGAATTGCCTATGAGCACAGCCATGATTTCTAGCAGGCTCTTCAGTCACTACTGAATAGGTTACTATCCAGTGTTTGTAAAAGTACAGTTTCAAACTAAGACGAACCAAATCCACCAATATTAAGAAATGGCTTCCAAGAACTTCATATAAATAAAAGAATCTCCCTTTTTGCTATAAATAGGTTCAGACCTGTTTTAAGATATAAACAGTAGTGATAGAAAGCTTGGTAATAAGTACATTTCTAGCAGGTGATGGTCTCGTGTGCACTGCCCTAAGTTGTGCCCGCCACATGAAGGAGACGAATTAGCCAATGTTTACAACTCTCTTTGGGCACTTGACCTCACTAGGTAGTTATGTTGGGGTTCAGATATTTAGTTAATGGACAAATTAAATTACATAGTGACTCCAAAATGTGTTTCTACAGAACATCTATGCTCCATAGCTAACTCCCAAATGTTCCTTCTACAATCAAATAATGATGCTGTTTCTTCAATTCAGAGAACACATCTCATAGATTTACGTTAACAGATTCAATTTTAAAATTTTTCTACCATAGATTTAAAAAAATCTTGTTGCCTATTACTCATCAGAATGCTAACAGAAAAAGGCTTGAGAACTATGAAATATTTATTATACCTAAACATTAGAAGATTTGAAGGTTCATATCAGCACAATATACTGCTTATGGAAATATGCTTTGATAGTTTTGCTTTTATACTAGAGATCCATATTTTCTCATAGCAAATGTGAATTCAGTATGTAAACATTTTAAGATACCCAAAAGAGTTAGGGATTTCCTGTCTGTTCTTAAATGGGTCTGAGAACCACTGCATCAATGTCTGGCTCCAAAACCCTCTCTGGGGTTCGTGCCAAAAAGATGCTAACAGAAACATCCCCAAGAACAAGGTTTCAAGGCAAGACCACTGGGAAGATCCCAGTACAGCTGCTACTAATGCCCCCATCTTTCTTAAATATGTACCATATAGCTTAAATATGTTACACCAAGAATTTGTGTTCCTATGCACTACATAGGACTTGGGGAAACTTGCAGTCTCTTTGTAGGCAGGTAGCTTTAAAATATTGACACTGCATCTCTTAGCACTAACAGCCCTGAGAACAAAGCGTTCAAATTCCAGCTCAATAGAAACAATTTTCATGAGAAACTTTAAAGGTATAAAATCAAATTCTGGAAAACTTCTTAAAAAAATCAACTTTTGAGGCACTACAGACTACAGTACTTCAGTAGATGGAAGGACTTTGAGAAAAGAACAAAGCTGTGTGTGTACACACAGTCACCTGGTGAGGTAATGGAAAGCATGTGTCCCCAAATTTTTTAAATATCGATGTGTATCGCTGTATCTTCTGGCCTCAAGAATTTTGGTCTCTGCTATAAAGCACTGGCCTAGAAATCTGTACTATGAAGGGGAACAGAGTCAAGAGCTTGGTTGATAACCACTTCAAGTGACTGGCAGCGCCCCAGGGCATCAAGGATTCCAAGGCCAAGTTAGAGCCCAAAGTTCTGACAGGTCAGAGGGCAAATGACTGCACCAGTGTAACAAAATCTTCACAGTAGAAATAAAGCCTCTCTTCTAGAACAAAAACATTCAACCTGCTAGTACTGTCTACACAGCACAGAGAAAGAAAAGGGTACAGACACAAATAGGCGGTGACATGAATGAGTCTCCATTCTCTACATGGTGCCTGAGAAACAAAAATTACAGCACATACTAGGAACTAATTGTTAGCATTTCTCTGCTGTCAAAAAGAAGGGACTTCTGTTTTATATTAGAAATATATGTTACCTGCCTCCCTTCAATATAATTTATAAAGCTTTACTAAATGAAATACTTTGCTCTAAGAGAAACACTACTGAGTTATGTGAAAATAAACAGTTCTGTATCTTTAAAATCTATACTTACATGTTGGCGTATGTACACTTCATATAGTATTTAAAATGAAATACTTAGCATCCGTGAAGACTGAGATGTCATTTCTGAGATTTTTCTTGTAGAGTATATGCTTCATAGTCCAAACACCGTCAGCAGCTTCCTGGCACAGCTCCTCAGTAGGGTCTCATTGGGCAGAGTAGCAGAGCGCCCATCTGGCCGTGAAAATGAGCTGCAGATAGCATGTGAACAGAGCTGTGGTGGTTTGGCAGGTCACTGCAATATCGCCACCTTTCTCCACTTGCTGCGTCAGACAAGTACAGACCACCCAGCAGACATGGCACCTGTGGAAAAGTCGCGGATTCTTCCTTATTGAATAGATCGCATCCATAGCCCATGTCTTATTGCAGTCCACCCTTGCATTCTCAGACAGTCCTGGCAGCTTTACACAGTGAGCTTTATGTAACAAGGGCACCAGGCTCTTCCATGCTGTGGATCTTGCTGTTACTAACGAGAATGACTCAGGAAGCATCACTTTCCTCGGCAAACTGCTAAGAAGAAAGGGCACTGGGTGCTCCTGGGTCCAGTCATTACATAGTGCAAATGCTGGCTCTTCAAATGAGAAGTTCAGCTCATCAAAACCATCCATCACGAAAAGGAGATTTCTGCACTCGGACAGGATCTGTCCAATGGGGACTTCAGTTCTTGGATATTAACTTGTAAAGCTTTTCTCCTTTGCTTGACTAATTTCTCTCCCACTGAGATAAAAAACATAGGCAAACTTCTTGAAGAGATTCCCACCTGCCAATTCTAACATTTCCTTCTCAACAATGTTGTCTTCCCAACTCCAGCATCTCCATAAAGGATGACTGTTTGTCACATCTTGAAAGTGTTGATATCCTTATCAAACATACTCTCCAACAGCTTTTGGTCTTTCTGAGTAATTCCCTGATATGAAGTTGCAGATTCTCCAAGCAAAGAGTTCTTATCCCATATAATACAAACTTTTCCTTTATTACAGCTCTGTAGTCTGTTCCATCATCAGTCTTTGAGGGACAGAACTTCTCAGCGATGCCCTGAAACAGCCATGGAGTACTCTCCAGAGCCTTGTGTAGTGAGCTGCTCTCCACTGCTCTGTCCGAGTCCAGTGGGATAAAGTTTCTGTGTCACGTCCTTCAGCAGCCGCCCAGCACTCTTCAAGAGCTGGAGTCGATGGGCTGTGCTCTCACGAGTGAGAGTTATCTGGATCTGGCTTCTGTTCTCGCAAACAACCCACACCTGTGGAGCCTAGACCTGAGAACAACAACTTAAAGGACGCTGGCCTGCATAATCTGTGTGATGCTTTACAAAATTCAAACTGCCACATTCAGAGGCTAGGATTGGAAAACTGCGGTTTAACCCCTGCTTGCTGTCAGGATCTCTTAAGTCATTTTTGTAGCAGCCAAAGTTTGGTACAAATGAACTTAATAAAGAATGCCCTAATTTACAACACAATTAGGAATTTATGTTAAGTCTTGAGGTCTCCAACATGCAAAACGAAATTTATAGTGATGGACAAAAAGGAAATTATAGGAAAAAAGAAGTTTCTGAAGGAAGTGAGAATTAACAATCCACAATAGGTGATTAGGCCAAACTATTGTAATACAGAAGGTGGGTGCTGGTGGCAGAACTTGATGTGATGTGCCTTTAAAAATTAAAAAAACCAACATAACTCCAAATGGTATGGTCTTTAACCAGAAATACTGGTCTATATCCAGAGATAATGAATTGTATTTCTAACAGGGGTAAATTACACACGGCTCTGTAAAATGTTTGCTGTATTTCACGTGGGCACTGAGAAAATAAAGCAAAACTCACAAAATGCAAGAGTGAGAGAGAGAGAGAGAGAGAGAGAGAGAGAGAGAGAGAGAGCGAGAGAGAGAGCAGGAAATACTTAGGCTTAAGTAGCTTTTGCCATTCAAGGTATGGAGTTAGAGATATATTGCTCCTCACCCTTCCACTGCAAAGGAAAACAGAGACTCCTGTGAGGTTTGACAAGTTACAAAGAACAAGGGCATGCTAGTCCTGAAGTAATATGAAATCAAAACACCAATGTGGTTATTAATTGGCTAGATGATGACCAGGAAACAGCAGAGATAGTTTTTGGAATTCCTGTGGTACACATGAGAACACCAGAAATCTAAAGGAGATACTTGTAGAAGAATCCAGTCGAATTGCTAATTGTGCTTTGCATGGACAAACGCTAAAAGGTCACACTAAAGTCCACTGGCTACAACTTCAATATTTCTTGTGCTTTGCAAGTCTCTTCCCGGCACTTCTCTTATAGTATCTTTCTTCTCTGGATTGGTTTGTGGAGGTCAAGACACAATTTAAAACTGCATACAAATTAAGCAACTAAAATCGTGGACTCTCGCATTTCCAGGGCAATTTAAACTGCTGACTGGGTCAGCTGCACCGTCGCACCTCTCTGCTCTAGACGGGAGCACAGCACTCTGGGGGCTAGGCAAGGTGAAAGGGACCCGATAGCCAGGGCGTTACAGGAGTCTGTTCCAGGCTGTACTTCAATGCGATGACTGTGATTGTGTCAGAATTCTTCAAAAACACAGAACTATGTCTATGATTCCGGACATAATCTGCACACAATCCAAAAGTCTAGACAGAAATGGAAGGGCACGCATACAACATATTAATAGAATCCAGTTCACAGAATCTTTTCCTAGTTAGATTTTATATCTGTAACAGAAATCATAAGAGAACAATATATATATATTCATATATACATATATATATATATACACATACACAGACACTTAAAATAATTCTTCCATGGTTTACCTCTATTCCACTTTAGAAAAGTGTACATACATTTACAAGCCAAGAATTCAAAAACAACTTAATTCCTAATTTTAGACTAATGTCAAAAATAAATCTACTTTAAAAATCGTGGGAAGAGCTGGCTTACCAACATTATGAACACTCACAAATAATGGCTGGAGGTCGTGCAGAGTCCCTCTAGGGCCAGTCCTTCTAGGGCACAGGCTGGGGACATAGCCAAAAGCAAAAATACAACTAGAGTTCACTCTATCTCATATGCTGATCACAGAGGTCTTAAATAAAACCCACAGTCTCGCCCCCTTCTTGGCCGCTGTCCCGGGTCTTCTTCAGCACTGTTTGACTTGCTCAGATTCTCTCGGCAGTTCTAGTTCCTATTACCACAACAGACTAAACTATGGCATAGGTCTGTCACCAGTCTGGAAAGGAGGCCATGATGCAGGCACTACATGGGACACCTGGCCACCAAGAGAACACCATTTTTTTGATGAGTTTAGTTTCAGGAAGTGTGTCAGCCACACAGGGCTGGAGCTTTGACAATTCCATTTTATAATCTGTAAATTCTAGATATGAAGTCTGAAATCAGCAAAGAACAATTCAACTTAAATGCATAAAATTTCCATTCCACTAGGTGCTACATTGTTGATTTAAAACCCTGGTTTGGCAACCACTTAACTCCAGGAGTGATTTGTCAGACGAGTGACATGTACTGAAGCTACTGTATCTGTTTCTTATGGTCACACACTAGAAACCAGAGGAATGTTATAGGAAAGACACTTCATAAAATTATACACCTTGATATATTCTTTTAAAGTTACTAACTGCCTGCAAAACTAAGCCAGCACAATTTCAAAATGATAGAAACATAACAAAAATAAAACATGAGGTTGCTTATGAAGGCTATAGCTTTGGGACAACTAGATCCAGACCTAACGGCCCCGCTTGTGTGGAAGATCCTGTCTATTTGCAGGGCTTTATGGCCACAGCATATTCTTCACTCATGGCACACATGACAGATACCTAGAAGGGGAAAGGGCAAGCAAAGAGTTACTCGGGAGGAAATGCAAAGAGAAGATGCACTGTGTTCACTAAATCCTGCATACATGTCAACAACATTTATGTTGACTTTGTAAATGGGTAATCCAAAGCAGCTAGGCTGCCTTCTGCACAGTTTTCAGGATTATAATTTCTCAGATGGTAGCTCAGGACAAATTCCCTGGAAAACGGAAACACTCCATCAACAGTTACTCCATGTTACACTTCTGAGTTATAACAAAGTCCACCTTTCCCCTCTGTGTTCCCTTCATAGGCAGATCTAAAGTAAGTATGGAGTTCCATGTCAAGCCAGAAGAAATAAGACAAACAACCCACCTCCCACACTTGATGCTTCCTTTGGTAGTAAACAGATCTTTAAGGGTGCCACAGAAATTACCATATGGTGATCATTTCAACATTTCAGCAGTATTTTAAAGTTATAGTTCACAGGGTTGAAATTGATTTTATATATTATTGTTATATGTGTGTAAACAGATGAAAATACTTTTATTAAAGGTGAAGAAAACATACAGCAAGATGCACAGATAATGACCCCCTGCAAAGCAGAGGAGGCTGAAGTCTCCGCATACAGTCTTACGCTAACCTGTTAGGGCCAGTTTTTAGAGAATGGTTTTGAGAGTCTGCCATCAGTCTTACCTGCACATCTTCACCTGCATTGTATTTTCCTTCTATTTCTTTGCCCAATTCACCTTCTGGCAGCTTAAGATCCTCACGGACTTCACCAGTTTCTGTTAGCAGGGAAAGGTAACCATCCTGAATGCATATGAGCTATTAGAAGAAATTATAGGTGCATATCGATTAGATGGCATCCTCTTTGTTGCAATGTTTGCACAGCTAAACTCGAATAGTCATTGGGTTGGATGAGAACACAGCAATACATCATCAGATTTGTGGCGTTTAAAAACGCTAAAATGACTCATACCCTCAGTCCTACCTAGCACTTGGGAGGCAGAGGCTAGCCTGGTCTCCATTGCAAGCTCCAGACCAGCCAGAACTACATAGTGAGACCCTGTTTCAAAAAGAAAGAAAATAAAGAAAAGAAAAAAAGGAAAAATGCAGGCATTATAACAAACCCAAAAGAGTGTGTGATTCACTCCCTATATACTAGCCCACCGCCCTCTGCACAGCCACAATATGGACAGAGCTGTTCTGAAAGAAAATGTAAGTTTTTTAAATAATATGCTTTAGAAACTTTCCAAATCATAAAACATAGAATAATTTTCCTCTCACCATCACACATGTACGTGAACATACTGTAAGCAAAAATTTCCTGTTAGTGGACATCAAGGTTATGTTTAGTTTTTCACTATTAAAGTGATGCATTTTACAATTTGATTATAACCAAACTTAACGTGGAAATTTTTGGTCTTCAGACCACTGTTAACAGATTTTTAAAAAACATTTACATATATATGTCTATATACAAATACATATATATGTATCATACAATATATTCTATCTGGCTATCTATATTTATATCTATATATATTATATTTTGATCTTATTTTCCCACCAGTTACCATCTCTTGACCCCCCACTGCAGCTGATCTCAACTAGCCCCTCTTCTATTTTCATGTCTTCTTATTTCTTGGTGAGCTGGTAAGTTTCACCAGGGTTGCTTACGGAAGTGTGGGTGAGGGTTGTTCACAGGAGCCTCTGCTGCTTACAGGCACTGCATGACTGAAGGAGAAGTGTCTTCCTCCACTGACTCTGTAGACCCTCAGGGAGGGATGGCAACAGACTCCTAATATTATCCTATCTTACGGCATTAATGGAACAAACCAAGCCATGACCTAACCTGTAAAAAACATATGCTTTGATATAATGCTTTGAAAAAGATTTATCTTTTAATAGTGTGTAGCTGTGCATGTTTGCATCTGTGTCTGTATCTGTGCAGGAGCTTAAAGAGGCCAGAGCTGCTAGGATTCCTAGGAGACGAAGCTGCAGGCAGTTGTGAGAGTGGGAACTGAACTCAGGTCCTTCAGAGCAGCAGCATCTGTCCTAACTGCTAAGGACACACACACACACACACACACACACACACACACACACACAGAGCAGAACTTGAGCCCTGACATCTGTAACCAGAGCTACGATGTATAAGCCGACTTAATAAGTAGAAGGAGTATCCAAATGCTGCATGAGCACCACTTAACAGGTCTGCAATGCACAGGAGACTCAAGCCTTGATTCTACACTGTGAATAATAGAAACTGCAACAATACTTTCTTGTCAGGACCACCAGACCGTAAACAACCACACAGACACTTAGTATTAATATGACCTTGGCCCCAGCTTAGGCTTTTCCTCAACTAGCTCTTATAACTCAAACAAACCTGCTTCTATTAATCTACCTTCTACCATGTGACTAGACTACCTCTTCTCTGTATAGTATCTCCGACCTGTTTCATGTCTTTCTGGTGTCTACTGCCTCTCTTCTTCTCAGAGTTCTCTCTCTCCCTGAAGTCCCATCTATACTCTCCTGCCTAGCTATCAGCTGTTCAGTTTTTTATTACACCAATCACAGCAACACTTCTTCACAGTGTACAAATAGTCTGCAACAATGAACTTTTGTCACTGAAATGTCTCAGAACTAGCTAGGAACAGTGAAGAACAAGGAGCAACAGGTACACGCACAGTATATGAATGTCTGAGGGTGCCAGGTACACGCACATTGTGTAAATATCTGAGGGTGTGAGGTTCACACACAGTGTGTAAATGTCTGAGAGCAGGTGCTTGTGTAAGGCAGAACTTGCTGCCTTTAGCAGTTCCTGAGGTGGAATGCCACACTTCAGTGACTGAGAACAGGAGGCAGATAGTAATACTGGGATCCTGGTAATTATTTACAAATGCCAATTTTTTAAGATTCAGAATTCATTAAATGAACTGAGGTGAAATACATGAAGTATTTCAAGACAAAAATGTGTAAGTGTAATATAAGCATGTAATGAAGCCAAATAAATGTGAACACTGAGAAAATTAGTTAAAAAGTACACATCTTTTAAGTGGGATCATCCCTTGTTAGCACTTAATTATCTATGTATATCCCTTTATATATGTGTACACAGACTACAGCGTACACAATACATTGCTATATATTCTTCCTTTGCTGAATCATTTGAGACCTAAGTTTCACAGATCATGCCTTTTCAGATATAAATTCTTTAATGTGTTTGCCCCCAAAACAAGGACACACTCTTATGTAAGTTTTTCAAACTAATCGATGACCCATCTTCAAACGTGCCAGTTGCCCAATACTCTGATAGCGACTTACTGTGCCTGAGTAACACCCTGCAGTTTTCTGCTGTCGTGTGGGTTTTGTTTCTTGAAATGTGGAGCAGCTGTAATATCCTGTCTTTCAAGACATTGACACTGACTTCATTAATAGACTGTCACCCAGTCTCGGTCTGCCTTGTTATCCTGTAGTTCATGTCATGTATTTTTGAAAGAAACTGTCTAAATGATGTGTCCTTGGAGTACCAATCACACCAGGAGGCAAATGTACCTAGCACACTAATGGTGCCGTGAGCCCTGACCACCTGGTTACTAGGGTGGCTTCGGCAAGATCTTTATAGCCTAAATATAGCTTTCTCTCAAAAAAGAAGGAAGCAGCCATTGGTGTTACTGCTAAATCTTAAGTATATTTTTGTGCAAACTTCCATCTTTTCCCAAAGGTTTAGGATGAGCACACATGCAATGCATGCAGTTGGTGTCCCGACTCCTGACTAGCATGTGGGATTTACTGGCACGGGAATGTGGCATCTTCTTTTTACTGAAAGGTCTTACTAAAATGATCCAGGGTGACTTCATGTCAGAGTGGGAGGTAGACACGTGCTCATTAGAGTATGAGGAACCATCAAGGCCATATTGAAATTAAAATATTAGTAATAAAGAAAATAGTGATGCTATGATTTCCCTGTGCTTTAAAATCTTTTTTTTTTTATTTTAATCAGTTCTATGAATGCCTTGTATTCTTCATGGAAGCATTCTTTCTCAGAGAATGAGAATGAGAATGAGAGCCCAGTATTTTAGGGAGAAAGGACAGATATAGTGCTACAGGATTGTTAAAGACAATAGTGAAAAGAGCCACATTAGGTTGCTAAGTCAGTGAGTTCTCGTACAGGAAAAATAGCAGCATGTATTATATTATAATTGGTAAAACAGTACTCTAGGCCCACCAAGTATCTCCCAGTGGGTACTATAAACGAGCCTTCAAGATCAGTTCCATGGCAAGCTGTTGATAGAGGTGCAGGTTCATGAACCATTGACCTCTGAGGGCAGCATCTCATCGTCTCGTTACTTTGCCTGTAAGTGAGCATTTTATTCAGAAGTGAGACCGTCTGAGGTGCCGCAGCAGAGAGGAAGTGTACTATTAGCAGAAGCACTGCAGGCAGGAAAAGCAAGTCCATGTGTAGACTGGTTCTACTGCAAGAAGTGCAGCTTGCTGTTTCTGCAGTGTTATTAGGTACTAGCTGTTCCCACTGGGGAAAGATGTCAGATCAGGGACCCTGCTTCAGTCCTACCTGTGGGGCTCTGGTAGCCTCAGGGAGAGAAAGCCTGTGTCATTAAGCCTGCTGAGCAAGTGCTAAGGCAGCAATAACAAGAAGTTGAATGTCTTTCACTAGGAGAACATTTAGAGAGTCTGTGCAATGTAGACCTCATTGACAGTTCTCCTAGCTTGCTCTTCCCGTGTCCTTGACTCCTAACACAACTCTTTGACTCTTTGCCCATAGTCAGTAGAAATCATTACAGTCTAAGTCTACCCACCATACCATTTGTCACAGCCTTTCTGCTGGCTCCTCATACTGTTCGTGGTCACTAGAAATCATTCTAATCATGTTTTTACAGTCAGCTAGTCAGAAGAATTCCCCACCGAGCCATCAGTATAGGTTCCTGGGGGAGAAGTGGTCAGTGTGCGAGAGAGTGCTTTCTGAATCTGAGCCACTTCTCAAGCTCTTGGTACCTTAGGGCCCTCTCATGTCATCCTGTCCATGCTCCTTCACTCGATGGCGTCTGTCACTGTGCACACCCACGGGATGCCTTGCTGGGTCAGGGCACACCCCAGCTGATGATCATCTTACTTATTTATCATCTTACCATAATAATGTTTAAGAATTCACTCTATCCAGGACCAGCAGCTTCTGGGAGTAACTGAAGAGTGCACGGGAGAGAAGGCTGAAGTTGAAAGAAAGTAAGTCTCACCTTGCACGGCGACAGCTGCTTGTTGTGAAATAGAATAGAAGCCAAACCCAGCAACTGGGACTAAGAACGCACTCATAGTGACGATCTTCCCCTGCCATCTGTTGTATATTAGTAATACAAACACAGGCAAACACAAAACCACCCCTCCCATAATCTCCCTTTCTATGCTCTTTCTCATTCTGAGCGCATCATTGGCCAGACCGTAGTCACCCTTCCAATTAGCTCATCCTTTCTCAGCCCACTGTGCTCCCTCCAGCATTCAGTAGTTTCCGTGCTCTCTCTGCCTGTGCACCGTTTACTTTAGTTTATTATCTCTCACATGTGTGCACTGCTCGCGTGTGTGCTCTCTCTCTGCCTGTGCACTGTTCACTTTATTATCTCTCACATGTGTGCACTGCTCGCGTGTGTGCTCTCTCTGTTCACTTTATTATCTCTCACGTGTGTGCACTCCTGCCGTGGTAGTAGTGGCTCTCTTCTTCCACCGTGTGCATTCCAGGAGTCGGACTCGCATCTCCAGGCTTCTGCAGCAATGCTCTCCTGCTGAGCTGTCTCACTGGCCGTGTTTGA